GATCAAGGGAGAAGTCTTCTGTATATGTGGTAAATAAGGACACATCAAGCAAGGTCGCCCAAAGAGGGAAGGAGCTATAGTCAACCCCTTGTGTTTGAGTAAAGCCCTTTAAAACCATTCGAGCTTTGGACGTGTGCACCTTTCCACCCATATCAATATTCTTCTTGAAGATCCACTTGCAACCTACTATCTTTTGACCAGGTTCATGATCAACCAAGTTCCATACTTGGTTATCATACATGGATTAAATCCAATTGCAATCTACTACCATCGCTTCCTTGTAGTTAGTAGGTTCATCCAAATTCACCAGTATGTTATCATTGATGAACGTATCGCCATCTACAACTATATGGAAACCATAGAATTCAAGTGACGTGCTAACTCTACTGGATCGAAGAAGAGGTATTGAATTGTCAGTCAGCTCACCAGGTGTCTCATCATCTGGTTGAGTGCTAGTGTCATTTAAGGTTCCTTCATCATATGACTATGGAATTTCTTCCAGATCAACAACACTCCCACTATCCTTTTTGAATATGATCTATCTCTAGTGAAAGACTCCTGTTCGAGCTACAAAGACCACATTCTCACTAGCTTTGTAGATAATATCCAAAGGACTTTTGTGGGTAGCCAATGAAAATACACTTGTCAGCTCTAGGCTCAAGTTTGTCATGAGTTTCTCGTCTTACGAGAGCCTCACAAAACCAGACCTTGATATGTGCAAGAGAGGGAAATTTCCATGGCCACATCTCATGAGGTGTTTTGTCAACCTTCTTTATGGGAAAACGATTTAGGATATGGGCGGATATGTCTAAGGAATACCCCCAGAAAGATATAAGAAGAAAAGCTCGACTCATCATTGAACAAACCATATCAAGTAGGGTTCGATTACACCTCATTGCCACACAATTAAGTTGTGGTGTTATGGGATAAGTCAATTGTGAAATGATTCTACATTCCTTTAAATACTCATGGAACCCGGAACTAAGATATTCTCCATCTCTATCAGATTAGAACATTTTTATCTTCCTGCCTGATTGATTCTTGACCTCATGCTTAAACTCATTGAATCTTTCAAAGATTTCTGATTTATGTTTGATCAAGTGGATATACCCATATCTACTATAATCATTCATAAATTTCACGTAGTATCGATAAGCATCCCTTGTATCAGATCTGAAGGGCCTATATACATCTGTATGGATAAGGTCCAACAATCCTTCACCTCTTTTACATGTTCCAGTGAAAGGTGATTTTTTTTTATCTTTCCTAATAAACAATACTTGCACTCATCATCTGACCTTAAGTCAAATGATTCCAACACTCCATCATTTTGGATTTGGGCGATGCGTTTCTTGGTAATGTGCGCAAGACGACAATGCCTTTAGAATGTTTTGCTACACCATGAGACGAATTAATATGGAATATAATATTGCCTAATTTATCAACACATGTCACAATTTCATACACACCATTACAATGAGAGCTTTAAATATAAAACACCATTATTATAAACCAACACTAAACCATTATCATTATCAAGTGAATATAAAAAACCTTATCTAAAAAATGCATGGAATGAAATAATGTTTCTTGTCATTTTTAATGAATTACAACAATTAATCAAGTCAAATATAATACCACCATTGAGCACAAGTTCATAAGTCCTAATCTTGGTAACAGGTGAAGAACGTCTATTCCCCATGATTAGGTTCAACCTTCCATGCTCCATTTTCTCTTAGACCCTGCATATCAGAACAAATGTGAAAACCATATCTTATATCAATGACCCAAGATTGAGAAAGTTATGTGTTATTGATATGAATAGTGTATGTAACTGATGACAAGCCAGATGGATTGATCTTCCCCTCTTTCAACTTGTTAAGGTACTTTGGGCAGCTTCTTCTCTAATGGTCCTTTTCGGCATAATGAAATCAAGTGGCCACATTTGGATCACTAATAGTAGGAACATTAAAGTTGGGCTTCCCATTCGACCCACTACTAGACGCTTGAGCATGGGCCTTACCCTTCCAATTAGTTTAGGAGGTAGCCTTCCTCTTTTTTCCTCTGCTATGTGCAATGGCCAGGATAAGAGCACTTGTCACAGAAGGGACATGATTTTATTAATTCTTGACTTAGAAGTTTGCAACAAGTTGTGGAGTTGGGTCAATGTGGTCTCTATGTTGTTCAAATTATAAGTCAAAATGAATTGATCATAACTAATAGGCAAGGAGTTAAGGACCATGTCAATGGAGAACTCCTTATCAAAAGACACATTAAGTTTCTCCAACCTCTTGACATATGATTGCATCCTTTGTGTGTGAGCGCAAACAAATTCTCCTTCCTTTAGCCTACATGCAAAAAGGGACTTGACGAACTCATACCATTCTTGCCTTGCTTTCTTTTGGAACTTTTCAGCAAGATCCAACCACATTTCGTATGGATAGTAGTCCTCATAGAACTTTTGTAACTCAAGTGCCATGGTTGGAACCATTATGAAAGTGAAATTAGTGGCGTTATCAGTATGTTTGTTATAAGTAGAAATATGTTCAGGACTCATCGATTTCGACAAGAGGTTTATCAAGAACACACTCTTTGTTCTCATAGCAAAGAGTCATTTTCAGATTCTGCATCCAATCTATGTAGTTTGGACTTGTCCGCTTTTCATTCCATAGAATTAACAAAAGAGTGAAGTTGGAGTTTTGAGTGGAGGTTTGAGCAATATGAGTATCACCTTTTCTATACATCTATAATATGAGAGAGAGTTTTATTTAGTTGATATAAATCCTTAATATTTTAACCTAAATTAATATTCAAGGCTTGGGTCCAAAATACAATTTATAATTAAGAAGATGGATTCTGTAATCTAAGTGCAAATTTATTAAGGTAGGTAAAACGATTCACCAGTTTCAATGTAATATGAAATTCCTAGATCAATTGAGATTCACTAAATCATATCAATGGCATGTTTAATCTTAGATTATGCTCTTCGATATGTAACTGGGATACCGAGGATCACAAATAAGATGTGAATAACCATGTAAACCATCTCGACAACCTCGATGTAATTTATTATCTCAAATTGACATGTCGGTTAACCACTCACACTCCATCAATAATGATAATTTTGAGTTATTCCATCATCTCAACTTTATAGTCCCAAATTAGTGTGCCGGTTAGCCACACATGCTCCACTAACGACTTATAAAAAATGATGTGTGTTTTCATGGATTAACATACATTTCACATTTTTCAAAAAGTAACTAGAGTGGTATTTTGAAGAAGGTTCTAGTACTTTATAGCATTATACTTTTAATGATATTATATCCTATCAAACCCGTTTGACTAATGACCCTCCACCACACAAGGTAGTGGTGGGCGAAAAGGACACCCATTCAAAGATCATTTTATAGCCCGTTTCCTTGTACTTTCTTATAGCATGGCTTTGTGAATGAGGTGTACCAGAGATTCGACAGACTTTTCTTATACATATGGTATTAAACGTTTAAACATACATACATACATACATATATATATATATATATATATATATATATATATATATATATATATATGGTGTATTTAAAAACTTTTAAAACACAAGGTTTAAAAATTAATTATTTGAATTAAACATTTAATTTAAACCAATTATGATTTAATGTTTATCTTTTAGTTAAACAATTAATTAATTTAATTTAATTATTTTGGAATTAAATAATAATCTTTACTTTTACGTTTAATTAAATAATTCAAATCTAATCATTATCCTTTTAATTTTTGAAATTATGGTTAGTATTACCAAGTTTTAATTTGTTCAAATTTTAAGGCATTTAAAATAACAAGATAAGGAAAATAGAAACCCTATGTGTTAGGATAATAATCCTTGAAAGATCGATATGATTCAAAACAAATTAAAGCAAAAACAAGACAGTGAATCAAAATATGCTAAATGATACAATAGTCACAACCTCAGAAGAACTTGATTAAGAATTGCTATTGTAGAGGCGTGATTAGGGTTACAAGAATATAATCAAAGTTACCAAAATATGATGCATACATGCATCTTAAATACTATAACCCAAGAAATAAAAGACGGGTGGACAGGCCCAACCTGTTTAGAAAATAAGCAAACTAAATGACCCAATGATGCAACATAATATACTCTACAATCTCCCCCTTTGCATCAATTAAGCGAGAGTTCATCAAGGCTGAGTTCGGTTTTGTACTTCAAAAACTTATGGCATTAAGCTTAGCAATGCCTTGCGAACCTGGACATACCATTGAATCATGTCTGAGAAGCACTTTTTTATCACTCTTGTTGTTGCCCTTGAGTTTTTTGACCAGGTCCAAAATAAATTCAAGACATGAAGTAGTGTATAAATGTTTATATGGGAGGAAGAAACACGCTTTGTGAAAGTCTGCATCATTTCTTTCTCTCACTTGATATATCACATACCAACCTTCTTTGTAAATTTTCCCTAGCTTCAACTTCTTAAATCCTTTCGGAGCTTCTTTAGGGACAACAAAGGGCTTCTTTCGTAGTACATCAACTATCTCCACATCTATTTTTCCCACCTCTTAAATATACAAAACAATCATCAGCATGAGGTGAGCGATAATGGGCTCGTACTTCTGTTCGTCTCTCAACAATAAGTTGTAAAGCATGATCCAGTCGTGTGGGTTGAGACAAGGTAGGTCTGCAAGAGTGAATTCATGAACTTGACTAGTCGAACCTCTCACCACCTTGAACTTCACATTTGGGAAGCTTTCAGTTTTGATATAACCAATGACTTTCACTACAGTAATCTTGGAAGCACTCCACGTTTAGTATTGTGGCTTCATGTGCTTGAGACAGAACGAGAAAAGTAGTTGGTCAGCACCATTATCAGTGGATGGGACATTCGAAACTCTTATAAAATAGAGAAACTTGAAGGCCTTACGAGTTATTGGAAGATCCAAATGGGAGTCTTGTGTATTATGGAGCTTGAATGACATAACTAGTCCTAGCCAATATTCACTTGGTGAGTCCACTGCTTCATTCTGAATTCAATCAACGTCCACAAAGGAAATAAGAGATTTCGACTTTCAAGTATAACCTGATCTTCTTTCTCTACCTTTTCTTTAGCTTCAGCCTCTCGAACAATTCTTTGATTTTCATCCATTTCTACTTCACGAGCCTGTCTCTTTTTGAGTTCGCTTTCATCAAGCTCTTCATCCTCACCGTTATCAACGATTGGTTCTTTAGAGAAAAGCTTTTCTTTTCCTTTAGGCTCAGATTCACTTTTGAAGATCAGCTTTACTGAAGTCTTCTTGTGTTGATCTCTCCCTTGTTTTGGAATGCTGCTTGATTCCAGAACACCCTCTAGTCGATGAAGCATCACAAAGACTGGACTGAGCTTTTCAGCAACATGCTTTCTAACTGTGATGGTAATCATGGATTCCCTAGTCTCAATGATATCTGAGAGTAAGCCAGTAACATCTAAGATACAAATTTTAATAACTGCTCTCTCGCATAACAAATCCTTGACTTGTTTCTTAATAGCATCAAGTTTAACATTCAGAACTTTCACCTTTTCGGTTTTGACCGCAGTAGTATCCATTATCTTAATCTCCATTGCAAGGTCATCTTGAAGCTTGGATATTTATGAGGATATGGATGATTTGAACTCATCATGGTCAGTTTTAATGCAAATAAGAACATCTTGAAATTTTCTGTTTCAGCTTTAAGATAGGAGCCAAGATTAGAGATGGCTTCATTAGCTTTCGCTGTGTTGGACTCAAAGGAGGTTTGGAAGTTATGCATGAAAGCTGTGGCATCAAAAATTAGTTTATCAACTTTTTCGTTTGTGTTGTTGTAGACAGTAGTGTGAAAAGTTGAAATAGTAGCCACTAACGCATCCTGCATCACCGGAATATGAAGCTTCTTGATTGCTCTCTAAACAATGACTGTCCAGAAGCGTACATAGGATATTTCACTGTGACGGGAAGTAGAGTGAGTGTTCTGAATAAATTGAGCCTAGAGAACAGCCCCAAAATTGACATTGAGTCTGGTGTAGACCCTATAGATAATCGCCATAAAGAGCTTTCTTGCACAATCGGAGACGGTGAATCTCTCAAAGAAGGACTTGAACAACAGGGTGTAAAGGCTATTCCACTGTTGTGGTAAATTAGGTTTCCGGAATTTTGAGAATGCTTTTAGGGTTTCTTTGTACCCCATTTGATAGAACATCTCTAGTAGGGCTGCGTTGGTGATCGATTCTGGATTATTCATGCCGTCGGTTTGAGGAAACCCTAAAATAGAACAAAATTGAGATTTGGTGATTGAAGTTTGTCTGTTGTGGATTTCAAATGTGATCCTCTGTTCTTCCTTTATGTAACTTGCAGATGAATAAGCCTTGGACAAATGAGATATCAGAACAAATGAGATATCGGTACACCTGTGGTGACAATTGTCGTATCGTATCTCGACGCTTGAAGAACGTCGTGTTTTAGGCGAGACTTAGGTCATCAAGCATGGTTATGATAACTCACAATTTGGTATTGAATATTGCGTTTGGTGTAAGAATAAGTAAACTTCACATAGTTTTATATAAATAAAACTATAGTTGGTGAATCTAGATATTTACAATTTCACAAGTTTTCATACAAGTTCAAATACAAAATGTTATTCTAGTATAGATAAAACATACTTTTCATAATTTTATGGGAATTTAAAACTATATCATACAATTTCAAAACACAAATACATATACAATAGAAAATATAGGATTTTTCTGGGGAAAACATACTCACATTTTTCAAAGGAACAAATAACAGATTTCAATTACAAACATGCTTATGAACTCACCAACTTAATTGTTGACACTCCTTTCAAAACTAACTGTATTTTCAGGAAATTGATAAACAGGTACCCACTAGCTTTAAGGAAGACAGAGTTTCATATAATTATGTATTTTAATTATACTTTTTGGTGTATAATATACGATGATTTGAACACGAATGTAAAGTTATATTTTATTAATGTAATGGATATTATACTTTGATTACTATTGTCCATTTTTGTGATACTACACATGAAGTCATCCATCCCCGAACATTTCCGCCGTTTCGGTTTGCCGGTATGACATGCTGCAAACCTTCCACAAAATCCAATTTACGAATAGAGAATTCACCATTTTTCATCATTCCATAGCCTTTGATTACTCCCAGAGATTTTTTTTCCAAACATTACTTTTCCTCCATCCTTCAATGCCTTGTACTCTCGCACTTCCTCCTTTCTACTTGTCATGTGACGTGAGCAGCCACTGTTGATATACCATTCGGAGTCAAACTACTCGTCACGTATCACCTGTGAAAACCAATCAAATTTAGGAACCCAAATTTGTTTAGGTCCTTGTGAGGTTTTCATAGAAGCAGGAAAAGCAATAGATGGATCAAGAAAATATGTTCGTTTTACTAAAGTCGTGTTATGTTTCTTAGTAATTTGAAAAACAGTTATTCTTTTGTCTTTTTGATTCGTATCCTTTGAGGATATTTCATGTTGTTGGATTTTCTATTTAACAAATTGTTTCTCTTCTCTCTCAGACCTAGTTTCGGTTTTCTTGATATGAACATTAGGCTCTGAAACTATCTTTCCTTTTCCTTTAACATCTTTTGATGCATTAGTTGAGTTTGAAACATTCTCATTAGTTTTTGATTTCTCTATAGGCTTCATTTGATTTTAAAACTTTGGTTTTGAAGCCTGTGGATTTGAGACTGACTTTGTGAAAAACCTTCAGGCTTCGTAGTTTGAGAGACTTTTGCATTTGGATTGGAACAAGTGGATTTTTCTTTATGAACAAAATTGGGATTTCTAGATTGTCAAAATTGCTTTCTTTCCTTGAGATTTTTGTTATATCTCGCATTCCTTTGGCGTTTCTGAGCTGCGAATTCCTCAGATGACTTGTGGATGTTTGCCTAGTTTTCGGCTTTCTTACAGGGGTTTCGTTCTCCACTGATGTGGTTTCACATGAAACATCCTTTGTTCCACTTGGGCATCCCTTTTCACAGCCTGAAGGATTGTTGAGTGGTTTAACTACATACCTTCCTTTCACTCTCCAGGAAGTATTTTATGATAGACCCATAGTTTCGTATGCATTGTCGATTTGAGCAGACCAAAAACACTCGTCACATCCATCTTTGTTATATTCATTGACAAGGGACGTTAATTCAACAATTTGGTTTTTATCCAGTCGTGTGGTTGCAAAAACTTGATTTGGAACAGTTTGGACTTTTTGAAAAACAACAACTTTTTCTTTCAAAGATTTTGGTTAATTTACTGAAAGATGTGCAAATTTTATTGGATTTTTAGAGATTAATACTTTCGCAGGTTCAGGTTCGTTTTTAACAAACGTTGAACAATCAACCTCGTCTTCTATGGAGATTTCACTCATATCACTGTCATCATCGAACTCAGGTGTGTTTTCAACATTAAGCTTGTTATTTGAACTCAACTTTGAACTTAATGAGTCAAATTTTTGTACAATGTCAGTTTTGATTTTTAGTTTATCATTCTCATCTAAAAGATGATTTAACATGTTCTTAAGTTCTTTGGACTTAATGTATGTTTCAATTTGTCTAGTCCTACCCTGTAGGCATCCGAAAATTCATCAGATGAAACGATAGACTCACATTTGTAGCAATTAGTGTTAGTTTCATATTCCTTTAATTCAAGGAATGGTAAGATCATTTTATGAATTTTCTTACCAATCTCACAATCAAGATGCAATTGATTAATATTAGAATAAAGCCTTTTTGTGATTAAACATAAAATATTACGTTGTTTCAAAAGCATTAAATTGTCTCGTTGCAAATAAATAAGCTCATCCATAGACTTAGAAATATCTTACTCCAACTTCTCAATCCAAATGTGTCGTTCCTCACTCTTTGACGAAACCATGCTGATTTGATTGGTTAAGGTCAGAATACGTCAAGCAAGTTTGTTTCAGACTATTAATGATACTAAAAAAATATGAATTTTAACTCATTTAGTTCAATTTCATATCTAGACATAGGTATATTCAAAGATTCCAAAATGGAGTTTACCTTGTTGATCATTTGATCATATTCACTAATTTTCTCATACACAGACTCTACAGCAAAACAACTCTCACTCTGGCTTCCACTATTAGTGGTGTACCCTCGCATCTGTGACACATCACTTGTCACCACAAAACATCTTCCTTCAAGTTGCAAACCCTCATCTTTCGCAACAAAGCTTTTACCATGAGTAGGCCTACGAACCTCCTCATTTTCAGAATCGGTGGACCATACTTCCACCCTGCCAAACTCATCATCAGCTTCATTTTCTTGCAAAATCAAAGTGGGCATAAAGTTACCAACATTCTTTTGCAGCATGCACTCCTTAGCCAAATGATTTTTGTCGTGGCAATAGTTACAATCATAGTCGGAGTCTCCCATGAGCTTCTTCTCTTTCTTTTCTTCATCTTTAAGAGAACCATTCACATTTTCCTCTTTTGCCTTTTCAGAGGTGTAACTGCCCTGCCAGTTTCTATTCTTGCGTTGGTTGAAGCTTTTCTTTGCGAACCTCTTAGGATTCGACACCATCATTGCACACTCTTCTTTAGATAGTTCACAATCAGAGAGCTTAAAATCTGAATCATCATCTTCAACAACCTTCTTACCCTTTGCGATAAGGGCCAATGATCCAATCCCTGAGACTACTTTTTCTTCTTTGGTCACTTCATCTTCATGTGACTTCAGGATGCCAACAAGCTTGTCCAATGTATAGTTCATGAACTTCTCATGTGCCTTAACTGTAGACACCACTGCCTTCCACTCTGATCGAAGTCCATTCATAAACGTGACCTTTTGATCGATTATTTCACGTCCAATGCCATGCTTCATCATTCTGCGGAGAAGACGATTGTAGCGGTTGAAGGATTGACTTCAACTCTCTTCAGGCTTCTATACAAAGGCACCGAACTCTAAAAGCAGGAGTGTTTATGTAGAATGCTCAATATCTGCATATGTAGAGTAAAGTTCTTAAGCCTATCTCATATTGCTTTTGTCGTGTCACAAGAACTAACCAGGCGAAAAGTAACAGAAGGCAAGGCAAATCAAATGATTCTCATTGAATTAATGTTACTGATCGGCTTGTTCTTCTCATCTTTAGGGACATCCTTTACTTCGAGAAGATGTCTTTTGTAATCAGTCTGAGTCTTAATAACTCTTCTGGTTCCAGTGTGAACAAAAGCACCCAGAGTGATGGCTTACCATATAAGATAACATATTCATATTCATTAGGAAACATGATGGGAATCCTTGTGGTTGATCGAATTCTGCTAGACATATTTATGGAGTTGATGTGAGAATCATCATGCTGCATGATGATAAGATCTTTAAAACTTGTCAAGAATCAGACGTGTAAAACTGAAGTTGTTTTAGGGTAATATTGAGATCACTGAATCACATCAAGAATACAGTGATGATGGATAAACTAGATCCAATATTAACGGAAACCCTAATGACTCTTTAAACAGAAGATATGTGTATGGATTACACAGTCCCCTGCTCTGATACCAATTATTGGGATACAAATCCTTGAAAGATCGAT